CGTGCCCTATAATATATCCTTCACAACTATAAACCCACCTTAGCATCATGTTTGTGCCCCAATGCTATCTTGTATGTGTCCTCCACAAACTGTCTGGTCTGTTCAATCATGGTCCTGCCGAAAGCTGTCACACTCTGAGGGAAGAGAACACAACACAACAATGTGTACATGTAGCAGTTTAGTTGTTCCTGCAAACACAAACACTTAGGCCACACCAATTTAATTTCTTGGTTAACGGATTCACCTCTTCATTTTTTTCTGATTTGCAAATAAAAATAAAAATTCATAATCAACTGCAAAATGCTCATATTTTGCCCTGAACAGTTGAAAACAGTCCTTTTCTTACTACCTTGTTACAGTCATTCCATCTATCAATGCAGTGCTACCATTAAAAGTTCAAAATTCATTGTTTAAATTTTGAACCAGCCTGGTGTGCTGACTTCATGGCTCCTATCGTACCATTTTGGGCCATAATAGGATGCCTAGGCCTGTTTTTATTTTTTTTTTTTTGCCCGCCCGCTCCATTATTTTTCTAGAAAAATCCGTTAACCAAGAAATTAAATTGGTGTGGCCTTATACACAGACAAACTTAGAATAATACCTCCATACCTGGAAAAACAAAACAACTATATAACTATAATAGAGTTGCACTGATGGTTGAACACATACCTGAGATATCTCCAGACAGGGCAGCTTGCCGACCTGTGCTCCTGTGAACCCGTACACAGAGTTAGCACTGATCTTCAGGGCCAGCTGCCGGCCGTCCAGCACAGACTTACGGAAGGGGTCAGTCTCTTTCTTCAGGTCAGCTTTGGCCCTTTTGGAAAAAAACAAAACAAGAGACATGCGATTTTAATACAGAAACATGGGGCAGTTTTGTATAGTAAAAGAAAGGATACCGCATTGGGAACAACACAGAGCCCCTTGCAATGGATGGAAAGAGATATGTCACAAAAAGCTAAGAACATGGCCACAGTACTATTAGATAAACTGCATTTTCAGTAAGACTTGACCACAAGCAGGACTCACTTCTTCCTGGCAGACAGCAGGTTCTCCAGAATCTCCGGCAGCAGACCCTTCCGCAGCGTCTTCTTGACAAAGAAGTTTCCAGAAGGAGTCTTGATGAACTGGTCAGGGCTCAGGCTGTAAGGACAAAACATCTCTTATCGAATAGATCTTAATATATATCTTTCTGATGTATCTTGTTCATAGAGAAGTTCACCTTGTGTAATCCGGAAAGTATTTAGTGATTTTCTTGACCTTTATGTTCACAGGCCCCCTTGAATATTTTGGTTTTCATGAATGTATATATGGAACTGCAGAGGGGATTGTATAATGTGATTCAATCGGGTATTAAACCAGCTCCATATACAGTACCGTTCGCGTTATAGTTACCCTAACGGCCGTTACTAACGCGTTTCTTTTCCGTTACTTTTCCGTTACTTTTCCGTAAGTTTTCCGTAACTTTTGCGTAAGTTTTCCGTTACTTTTCCGTTACTTTTCCGTTAGACTTCTGCATTCATATGCAGGCCGCGGTAACATCACAGAATAATGGGAGGAGTACTAATTTACCTCATGCGGGGCGGGAAATTACCGATACACACCGCTGGAACAGCGGAAGGAACGTTGATCTAGCCTGCATTTTACTATATTGTAACGTTTAAAACGTTTTACGATCACCGGCGCAATTCAATTAGATAGACATTTTCTTTTGTCACTGTTGCCCAGGCAAGCGTTTCTATAGTTTGTCAACTTTGTTTTGCTGTTTTTCTCTGTTAACTTATTTTACCACCGAATAAGCAAACCTAGATGATCTGAAGTCAGGCTGAAGTTATAAATGCCCCGGTCCGCCGTACATAATAGGCGGCGGGCGTGAGGTAACGTTAGGGATGTGCAAAAACATCGTGGAAAATTCCTATAACACTCGAAAAAAGGCAGCATATTTACACGTGCCCACCAACATTTTTATGGCTAATTATTGACCAGTTTTGGGGAGTTTTGTTATGTCCTTGGAGTTTTGTTTAGAGTGGGGCGGAAAGCCGTGCCGCCACTCCGACTCCATGCACTTCCGTGTTACATTACGTTGTATGTGACCAACAAAATTACGCCAAAGGCACCACAAATCCACATGTACATATATTTTTTTCCCGAAAATTCTTTTGAGTACGCATTTCGTCACTAGGATGTTGCTAATTAGTCGTAGAAATAAGGTAGAAACCAGCGTAAATGTGGCTCTCTCGAGATCATTTCGCGCGGGGAAGGGCGCCCCAGCATGCAACGGGCTTCGTTCTAGCCAATCACAGCGCAGGTCATCTAAGGTGAACCAATCAGAGCGTAGCTACTTGCATATTATAATGAGCATGCTGCACACAGGGCGGCAGCGGCCAGGGCGACCGGCCCTGAGTGCGCG